CGCGTTGCGTCTCGTCATTGCCGTGGCATTTCCCGCCAGCGCTCCTGAACCCATTTGCGTACAGTGCAGGTCGGGGTGGGGGGGGTACACGTCTCCCCTCCGGTTCAGCTGGGTAGGCAGTGAGTTCCGTCTCGGGGTTTTGTAATCGCGGTGGACATGAGCGGGTGATTAACGCATTAGAGGAGCGGCAGGAAGGCGGAGGCGACGTTTAATTCGCCATGGAGTCCAGCTGAGGGAGGGGGAGGGAGCGTCAGAAAAACTGTGATGGAGCTCACTGGTTCGCCGACCTGGAGTCACGATGGACATCGTTTGAGCGGTGCCCTCACGGACCTTGCCGTGTGTGAACGTGCTTGCTTTTGCCCTGCTCTGCTCACCACACGCCGGCCATAGACCGGCGCTGCCAGAACGTGCGCCGGAAAGAACGGCGCAACTCCGGCATAGGGAGGCCAGTACTCGCTCGCTAACCCTCGCTCGCTAACCCTCGCTCGCTAACCCTCGCTCGCTAACCCTCGCTCTCTTGCTCACTCGGCGTCGTCATCCGTAGGTAAATTCTGGGCCGGCCCGAATAATGCGTGTCGTGTCATTATTCATGCAGGTGGCTCCCCCGATAGTGAACGAATGGCAGTTGCAGCCTTGGGGGGCCGTTGCCGGAGATTGTTTTTGGGTGGGTTTTTGAGGTTTTCGTGGCTTTTGTGGTTTTAAGAGACATGGGCGCTGGATAGGAGTCCGCGGGGCTCTTGAAGCGGCACGCGCTGTCGCGCGCGGGTGTTCGTTCGCGGTTGTGCTGCACTACTCTGCCTGGTCTCGCTCGCCGGTCGCGTTGTCCGGCACCGTGTCCCCCCCCCCCCCCCACTCCGACATTTCGCCCTGCGTGCCCGGGAGAGAGCTTCTTCGGGAAACTGAATTAGATTTTTTTTTTAATTCACCGTTGAATCACGTATGCGTGTTGGTATGTTGAACTTCTTTCGCGCCGTATGTAGCCAACCGTGGTCATCGGAGGTGCTGTGGTTGAGTCTATGGGGAGTATGTATGTTGAACTTTTTTTTCACCCAACACAGCCAACCGTGGCAATCGGAAGTGCGGTGGGGAAGCACAATGAACACTAAAAGCAGTTCTAAAGAAGTGAGTTTGTCAATCTAGATGATTTTAGAAGTGCATAGCTCCGGCGGCTGCCTAATATCAGAAGGAAGAGCATTCCAGACAGCCGCAGAAGAGCATCTAAAAGAGCTTTTTTTCTTTTTAACTCTGTATAGGATCTGCCTTTAAATCATTACCGTAAACTAATTTGTTTAGGACTGCTTTTCTGCGTTTGGTTTTGTCGTCCTTCTCCTGCACCCTCCGATGATGAGCACGATTGGCTACGTACGGCGGTGCAAAAGAAGTTCAACACGTACGTACGAACGCACATGCTCATCCTCGGGGTTGCGGGATCGGTTATGAAAGACGCTTTGATTTGATGGGTCTGCGCCAACGCTCGGCGTCTCTCGCTAATTGGCCGGTCCCCTTGACTGTGGCCGTGAAGTCTTGAGTTTCGTGCGTCACTCTTGGCATCCACGGCGTCTCGTGTTCGGTTTTTTTTTTTTGCGTTCGCGACTCCCGCACCTCTGCACGGCCGTTGCCTGCCCCCCGCTCTCGCGTCGGTGCTTTTGTCGAACGTGCGCTCGCCGCAATGCACTTTATCAGATTTCCGCTCAAATGTGGAGGCGGTGGGGGGGGGGGCGGGGGGCGGGCCGGCGCGGTGGGCAGAGAAAGTTGGATCGGATTAGGAGCCCGGACACATTAAGGGCCACTAATGTACCTCAAAGTATCTACGATGTTGGCCGCCTCTTCTTCCCCCCCCCCCGCTCCTATCCTTGGTCTGCCAAACATAGACTAAAGTCCCCATTGGCCGGCTCCACCAGGCTGCGGGGTTCACCGCCCAGTGTAGATGTTTGATAAATAGGGGATTAACCTGACCGCCACGTTAATCTAGCATCAGATTTTCCAGAGAGCCCTCCGTCCGGCCTGGCCAGCGTGACTGATTGAATTGACACATTTGAATGCACTCGCATGCGTTGCACGTCAGGGAACAGGAAGGGGGTGGATGACGCCACAATTCTGGCCGTCGCCTGACGAGGCTGGTTGTAATTTACCGGCGAGACGCCACGGTCCTCGAATTGTAAATGTTGTGGGTTTAATTGTCACGTTTCGTTTACGTGGCAAACCTCACTAATTGGCCGAGTTGGATTGCTGCGGATTTAATGACACATTTATACTTCCGCGATCTCAACCAAAATAAAAAAAAACTATTACGGATAATATTTGTCGCATGTTAAATTGCACAGCAACAACCCGGTTTGCGCAGTGTCTGCGTTTTTACTAGAAGAGAGACGCGCGCACTCGCACACACGACACGGAGAATAGTACTTCCGCTGCCCGTGTGTGGCTCTCCGTAAGTGGAGTACAGAAAAATAATCTCCAAATTAAAAACAGCCGAATGAAATTTATTGCCTTTAATACGCCGCTGGTGTAACAGGATACGGGCTCTCTGTGTAATTGATTAACATTTCGGCGTTTAAGGCCAATTGGGCATCGCGGCCGCGTAGCTCTCGGTCTTCAACGCGGCGGGTCTCCGACCGTGAGAGGCCTGACTTCGACTCCCGGTGAGGGTCGTTTGCCCGCGACCCCCGGTGGGCGTTGAGACGGTGGGTGCCAGGTTTTGTTGAGGCTCCACGTCTCCGTGGGAAAGGCCGCCGTGGCCGTTGGGCGGCCCCGTGTTCTCCGTCGGCGGCGAAATCTTGACGGGAGTTGAGCGGAGGTGGCGAAAGGTGGCGGTGACAGCCCCGCTCGACGTTCTCTATATCGTCATGCGCTTTCAACGGCTCTCATGACATCGGCATGTCAACGTGACGCATTTGTCCTTCATTTGCCGTGCGCGTCATCGTCGTCATCATCATCATCATCGTTGTGGTGATCATCATCATCCTTGTCAACATCCCGCACCTCTGATTGGTGCGGTTGGCTACGTACGGCGCGGAAGAAGTTCAGCGTCCACACGTGTACGTACACCGTCGTCATCAGCGGGAACGCGTGAGCTACGAAGGCCCGGAGCGGTGTCCCGACGTCGCCTCGAGAGATGTGACGAACCACGCCGGACTGTGTGTGCTTGCGATGGAGCCGCCGTCGAAATCCGCTCTCTGCCCTGGACGGATTAACGCAAGGGCGCCGGGCGCTGTGCCGGAGAGTCCTCCTCCACTCTAGCACCGTGGCCACTTTTACCGTCGGCGTGGGGAAAAAAAAACTACCGCAGTCATGTTTTGGCAGTGTGACGACGGTGATGATTATGGGTCCCTGTGTGGCTTGTTACGTCATGCCTTCTATCTCCACATCCTTTTCTGTGTCACTCAAGTGTTTGGGTGAGATCTGACACGTGTATATATATATGTTTTTAACGCCTTTTTTTTTTCGTTTACGTCAATGAATCCTCGACGATTTCACATTAGATTCTTGGTTCTTTCGGTAAAGTCACGTAGAAGGGAAACAATCAAATAATATTTTATATATTTTTTATTATTTTATTGTTTCCCTTCTACATGGTGACTTTACCGAAAGAACCAAGAATCTGAATCCCTGCAGTCACGAAAGCTTTAAATCAAGATTTCACATGAGCGCAGCGTTCGGCTCGTCGATAAATTTGATCCCCTTCTCCGTTTTGTGCGCACGCGAGTTTGCCGGACCGTGTGATTTGCTGACGATTAAGTCATTTTGTTTACATCGTGCACTTACTCCTGCTTCGTTTAGGATGATATTGGCACGTAAAATAAAGATTGATTTGATCCGATCCAGTGGGACGCCACGGTGGCGAGAGGTTTGCATGTTCTCGCCGTGGTCACGTGGGTTTTTCTCCGGGCCCTCCGGTTATTCCCCCCACATTTAGAATCGGTATCACGCGTTTAGAGATGATGGGCTGTTATGCATTTCCACATGATGATAAGCCACTTCGTTGAGCGATAATTTGTGGCCAGGCTGCTTCTAAACAACAGCTGCTGTATCGCAGCTCGATCGGCCTTACCTGGTAAAAATTAAAATAGTTTAATCGTTTGTGTAAAGAGAGAGAATGGTGATGTCTTGGGGGATTGATTATGGCTGATGCTAAGGATAGGGAATTGGATTTATCATGTCTCAATATCACATCTCAACCATTCCATGCTGTTCCGGCAGTCTAGCCAAAGGGGGGGACCCCCAGTGACAGCTGTCCCCGCGGTGGCACAAGGTGTCCGCAACAGCGACCCAGTGATTCCGGACATACAATACCCTGGTGTCTACAAACTAAGTTGCCTCTGTGGTAGTAGTTACATTGGAGAAACCAAACGCCATATCTCGGACCGCATTCGTGAACATAAAGCAGACCTTAAACACGGTAGGACCAACACCTCGGCCGTAGCAGATCATTGTTCTAATTCAGTAGGCTCACATGCCATTGACTTTTCCAAGACGGAGGTTCTTTGTAAGCCATCTGGCTTCCATGAGAGATTCGTTCATGAGGCTATCCACATATACAAACACAGAGACAATTTCAACCGAGAAGATGGATTCTATCTTAGCAATCATTGGAAAGATTTGATAAATCATTTCAGTTCTTGATTGATTGTTCACGCTTACAGTGGCTTTCAGACAGCATACATAAAAACAAATTTCGTCTCCCCCCTCCTCTTTTCAAAAAATAGATGGACTAGTCCTGGCAAACAGCCAATCGTTGCGCGTGACGCAAACGTTATTTTTATATATATAAATAAATAAATATGCCGTTTTCTAAATAAATTTATGCAAACCGACACACCTGATGATGACCGTTTGAGTTATAGTCGAAACGTCGTGGGAATTTTTTATTGTTTTATATATATTTTGTTATTTTGTTGTTTCTCTTCAACGTGACTTTACCGAAAAAACTAAGAATATGAATATAGCGACCACAATGTTGATCATTAATCTTCATTCCCTCTTCCCGCGTGCCGCGACAGATACTTGGGCAGGATGTCCGAAAGCCGCCACCACCACCACCACCCGCCCCACCACAACAACAGCAACAGCAGCAACAACAACCACAACAACAACCACCACCACCACCATCACCACGCGAGCGGCGCCGACGGGCCTCTCTCGGCCTACATCAAGACGGAGCCGTCAAGCCCCGGCTCCCTGGGCGACGCAGCGAGCCAGCCCAGCCCCGGCGAGCTCTCTGACGCCAGCAGCGGCAGCTACACGCGGCACGGCAGCGGCTCGCCGACGCCCGCCCACCTCCTGCAGGCTCCGGCCGCCCTCTACTCCCCACCGCCCGCACCTCCGACGCCGGCGACGCCCGGCCTGCGGAAGCCCGCCCGCTACGAGCCTGGCGGAGGCCTGGGGGGCGGGCCGGCCGCGGCGGCCGCGGCCGACGAGGGGCAGCCCAGCAAGTGCGAGTACATGCTGAGCACGCTGCCCAAGCGCCTGTGCCTGGTGTGCGGCGACGTGGCCTCGGGCTACCACTACGGCGTGGCGTCGTGCGAGGCCTGCAAGGCGTTCTTCAAGCGCACCATCCAGGGTGAGGGGGTGGGGGGAGGGAGGGGGCGGGCGGGCGAGTGGGTGGGGGGGGGAGGAGATTATGGGGCGGGTTTGGGTAAGGCCCCCTGCTCAAATCCTGCGGGCGTTTGACGCGCCCCGTGTCGCTATTCGAGCCCCCTTTTTAAATACAGATAACAAATAATTATCTTCGCCTTTTAATATTCTTTGGGTATTTCGGTAAAGTCACGTAGATGGTTCAAAGAAAATAACAAAAAATATATATACGACGTTTTGATCACAACACAAGTGACCGTTTCTGTGTTATTTTCTTTGAACCATCTACGTGACTTTACCGAAAGACCCAAAGAATATGAATTCCTGCAGTCACGAAAGCTTTAAGTCAACATTCTCCTTTAATGTTAACGGGATGCTGCTGCTGTGGTGTTGCGGACAGCGCCGCTGGACTTGTAATCTAAAGGTCGCCTGCCCGGTTTGATGTGAGTGTAGATAATCGGAGGTGTGGAGGAAGGCCAACTAGCTAAACACAATGGGCGAGGCGGTTAAATCGACGGAGAAAGTTTCTTAGATCACTCTCCCCCCCCCCACCACCGCCTCTGGTCCACCTGGCGGCATAGATGGGTAATGCTCGCAGTCCGTCAATCGGCAGGTACACACCTCGTGCGCACGAGGTGTGGGTTCTCCCCGCCTTTTCCAACTCGTCGTCTGGCTGGCTGGCGTGCAAGAGTAGGCTAAAATATTCGACAACTCGGAGGGCGTGCAGCGAGAGAGCTCATGCGGCGAGAGGCGTTGCTGCTGTGCAGCGTGCAGGCAGCGCAACCGCACCAGGGGGGCGCTGGCACCCACGCTATGAAGAGGAGGTGGAGTCGGGTGGTGGGGGTGGAGAAATTGGGACAGAGGGAGCCCCCCCCCCCCAACCCCATTCCATTCCTTGCACCAGGGCCCATGCCACCCACGCCACTGCGTGCCCGCGCACGTTCACTCGCACGTTCACTCGCACGTTCACTCGCACGTTCGCTCCTCCGTCCGTCAGACCCAACGGTTTTGTCTCCACCCGACCGCAGCTCGCAACACTCCGCTAGCTCCCCGCTTCTTTCCTCGTACCTCTGCACTTTGGAATTTCCGAGGTCAAGCAAAGAAACATTCACCCTTATGTATCGCACAATCAACAGCGCTGTTTGCTCCTGGCTGCATGGCGTTATTGGCCTTTTGGACCCTTTGCTCTACAAACCCGACTTTACAATAGTCCCCTGGCCAGACATTCCTCAACGCGCCTCGCACATCACGCGCGCGCGCGTGTGTGTGTGTGTGTGTGTGCCCGCACTTGCAAAGCACAGACACACACACACACACACAGCCCGGCTGTGTGTGTGTGTGTGTGCCCGCACTTGCAAAGCACAGACACGCACACACACAGCCCGGCTGTGAACTCCGTACAAGTCCACTGCTCGTTGCCAATCTTTGTACAGCAGCAGCGCGCACGCACGTTTGCACGCGCTCACACGCACGCACGCGCGTGCAATCAGCGCGTGTGTAAAGTCTGGGCTGACGGTGTCGGCGGGCCGGGCGGAGGCTTCTCAAACATCACGGCGCCACGGGTTGATTTATTAAATGCACAGCTCATAAAAGCGGGAACCCTCCCCCCCCCCTTTAAATAATTCACGCCGCCGCGCCCGCACTCCGTCTCAATGTGTCTGCGGCGCGCAAACTGCGGCGTGTGTCTGAGCGGTTCTTTTTTCTTTACTCTTATTCTTTTTTTTTGCACTCCGCTTGAGAGCGCGATGCTCGCCGCGGAGCGAGACGGGGCCGGGTGACTCGGCGAGCGCTGCCGTCCGTTCTTCCGCCTTGGTTCGGCGCGTTGCAGAGAGAGAGAGACACGAGCCTTTGCCGAGGTTTGGCGACGGCGGTGCCGTCACAGGAGTCGCTGTCCGGCTTTCCCCAAGCGTGGCTGCTCCCTCCCTCCAATCTTGCCCCACGCAACCTGCAGCCCGGGGGGAGGTGGTGGGGGGCGGGGGCAACCCCTTGGGAGAGGAAACAATCTACGCGCCTCGGATTGCTGACCGGCGCGCGCTCGCGAAACCGCGCGGCGTCACGCTGCCGCCTAAGGCCCCCGAGCCGGTCAGCGCCTTTTTCGGTGTCCATTGGCCTTGGGTGGGCGGCCGACTGCCCTGCCGTCGTCTGCTCCGCTGCGGCTGCGTTATTGCCAGCGCTAAACGTCAGCGAGAAGAGCCTGCGGTGCGGTTCGCTGCGAGTTGTCGTGGACAGAACACCGAACAAATGACCGCGGGTGCTGGGACCACACCGAGTACTGGGACCACGCTGGGTGCTGGGACCACACTGAGTGCTGGGACCACACTGGGTACTGGGACCACGCTGGGTACTGGGACCACACTGGGTACTGGGACCACACTGGGTACTGGGACCACACTGGGTACTGGGACCACGCTGGGTGCTGGGACCACACTGGGTACTGGGACCACGCTGGGTACTGGGACCACACCGGGTGCTGGGACCACGCTGGGTACTGGGACCACACTGGGTACTGGGACCACACTGGGTACTGGGACCACACTGGGTGCTGTGACAAAGGAGAACCCCCATTATAAAGCGTCGTATTTATCGGGCACTTCAATGACCCAGCATCTCAAAGCGCCTTCCGACCCTTCTCATTTTAGTCGTTCCGATGCTCTCCTATAATTTTCACTTCGTGTTGCTAGGCGGGTGGGGGAACCCCCCCTAATGACACCTGTCCCTGTGGCCACACACGGAGACGGAGACCACGATTTTGCGGACGACTCAACCGCAAAGCTGGCGGTTGTCCAGAAAAAGCCACAACGCGACGATGTATGCTGGGTCGGAGGTGGCCGGGTAGACGAAGCAGGTGACGGGCCAGGCGAAATGCGTGTGTTCGTGCGGGCGGGCGAGCAAAGGGATGGGAATGAGCGCGGCCGTGAGGACCGAGGGAGGGAGGGCGGCCACTCGCTGCCAACCCGCGGAAACGAGGGCGGCACCCGGCGAGGATAGGTGGCATGCTTCACCCTAATTGCTGTGAGGGACGTTGGAGTGAACACACGGGGGGATAGGTGGCGACGGGGCTTTAGGGCTTAATGGACGCAGTCCCACGGGTGAGCTTCCTCCGGCAGGCGAGGCAGCGTTGGCTGGGTCACCTAGCCCAAATGCCCAGCCCACCGCGTGCCCAAGCAGCTTCTGTATGGCCGGGTAGAGGGGGCTAAACGGGGCACGTCGTGGGCTGGAAAAGTGATGGACTGATTGCGGTACAGGAGGATGTTGACTTACCAGTGGTGTCAAGATCGGCCGTTGTGGAAGAGGAGGCTCGTGAAGGACACTACTGGGCAGTTGGCGGCAGTCACCCTCCAACAAAAATGGAGGCCAAAGAACCGACGCTCACAACAACGAGCGGAGCGCCGGGCAGCTAAAATGCTACAAGTTGGCACAGTAGGGGGCCACAGCTGGTGCTTTCTGCCAGTCATCTCATTCATGGCACCTGGGTCTGTCCCACGACCTCCTTGCCAGCAGCGAGCCACCGACGCTTCACGTGGCCTCGGAGTGCACCTGGCCTGGCACAGGCGCCGTGGTGACCATCACCGCCACTTGGTGGCGAATGGCGGCTGTTATGGTTGCTGTTGGTGGGGCTTAATGCCACGGGGTGCATTTGCGTCCAGCGTTGATCGCCGACACCTTTCGTGCCGGTGCACCGACGGAATCACTCGCCACGCGGCATCGGTGGCCGCCGTGAACTCGGCGGCCTGAGTTTGATTCTCGGTCGTGGCTAATGTCTGCGGGAAAAAAAATAGCTTCATAGCTTCTTTGGTTCTTTCGGTAAAGTCACGTAGAATGAGAATAAAATAATAAATTAATAAAATAACACAATGAAATTCTCACGACGTTTCGGCCACAACTCAAGTGGCCTTCTTCTTGTGTTGTGGCCGAAACGTCGTGAGAATTTTATTGCGTTATTTTATTTTAATTTATTATTTTATTCTCACTCTACGTGACTTCACCGAAATAACCAAAGAAGATGAATCCTTGCAGTCACGAAAGCTTTAAATCGAGCTTCATAGCTCATCGGATTCTTCCAGGACAAATAAAGAGTCTCATTCTGCAAACATCAGAGGCGGGTGATATCCGAATCATTCCTGGGCATGTTGTGGGTCGACTCGGCTGCCGGTGTGCATTGCCATCGGCGCTCGAGAGACAAAGGGCGGGCCCGGCCGTGGTGCTTGCCCACGCCAGCGCCTCGTGCGCCGAGCCCGGCCTTCGTAGGCCCTCGCTTGACAGCACTTGCCCCCTGACGGTCTCTGCAGGCTATACTTGGGGATTTTTGTCTTCGCCAGCGCGGCTGTTCACTCACCTGCCTGTGTGTTTTTTTTGCCCCCCACCTCGTGCGCGCTGGCGCCTGCCGGTGGGGGCCCCCCTTTGCTCTCCGCGCCCACCAGGAAACATCGAGTACAGCTGCCCAGCCTCCAACGAGTGCGAGATCACCAAGCGGCGCCGCAAGTCGTGCCAGGCGTGCCGCTTCATGAAGTGCCTCACCGTGGGCATGCTCAAGGAAGGTGAGGACGTGCCCGGAGGAAAACCCACGCCTGTTTTAAGAAAACTCCACCGCGGAAAGCAGCTTGAAAAATTAGATTTAATCATCTTTTTATTACGTATCTTTTTTTTTTTACCTTCCGGGTACCCATTTCATTGTCAGCCCTGGCAAAAGCACTCCGTGGGAAAACACGAGGCCCACGCTTTGCGATGCCGTACGCAGGCTCTCCGCGCTTTTCCGTAAGAGCGCGTGGTTAAGGGTTAAACGATGCACGCGTGATGCGAATGCAACTTCGGCTTGTATGTCTGAACTAAACGATGCGAAGCGACGTTTTATTTTTGTTTCACGAGGTAAGGCCTACTCGGTTATAGTAGCGACGTGGCCAAAAATTCGAGCTCGACCGGAGTGGCTCCGTCACGTGGAAATGTACAGCAGCTGAATACGATTGAAAGGCACGATTCTCAATGTGGGGAGAGGAAAAAAACGGGAGGGCCTGGAGAAAAATCCACGCGACCAGGCGAGGTAAATCGTGACTGCAGGAATTCATATTCTTGGGTCTTTCGGTAAAGTCACTTAGATAGGTTCAAAGAACATGACAAAAGCAAAAAAAACCTGCGACGTTTTGATCGCAACACAAGCAATCGTTAGCGAGGTAAGTTAACATCTCGCCACCGTGGCGCGTACGTACGTGCGTTGAACTTCTTTCACAGCCAACTGTGCTAATTGTAGGTGCGAGGGGAAGGAAGTGTTAAAGGGGAATACGGAAGGTTTATTATGCGAGACGGAACATTGAAACCAGAATAATAATTGGCGTGGATGTGGGAGATATAAATAAGAAACGAGACGAGGCGGCAGCAGCGTCTCCCTCACATTTCTGTCTCTCCTGCATAAAATATAAACAAACAAAAAATTGTTTACGCAACTCATCGGTCCCTACGGCCTTCTGGGAGTGCATATTGTCAGCAGCATTGATTCAGTGCAAGCAAAACTCCTGAACGGTTTCAACAAAACTGCACACAGCCGGTCCTAGAACCGTTATCCAGAATCGTGACGATGTCGCGCTACGAACCCGGCGACCCGGGTTCGATTTCCGGTCACGGCCAACGCCACGGACAATTATCTGAACCGGTCCTGGGCCTCCCCTAGGTCAATTCGGCCTGAAATGAGCACCTGGTGCGATGTTTAAGCATCGCCACTGGGGAGACGAAAGCGCCCGGGCGTGCTGCTGGTCACCCACCCCCATCGTGTGCCATGGCGGCCTTCTTAGGTGCTTGCTAACAGCACTCGCCCCAACAGTCTGTGAAGGCTTTATAGGTGGGGATCTTTGTCTTTGGTGGTGACGGCGGTGACGGACAGCTGTACTGTAGTAATACATTAGATCAGGAGCTCGCAACTAGCAGGAAAACCTTTCGGAGCATCAGGACTCCGTTTAAGAGGATCCAGTGTCGTGGTATATGGCCAATCCCTTACGAACGAGTGCTGCTTGCGCGTTGGAGGAAATTGGGGAGTGCTCGGGGAAATAACTCGCAGACATTTGCGGTAACGGTGGCTTTGGTTTTTACCCGGGAGAGAGCCTCTCGCCCGACTCCTCCTCGACAACTCGTTGAGCTTCCGATTCCACCGGGGCTTTTGGCCATTTGTGTACGAATGCGTGTTTGGCTTGTTCACGTTGGAGGACGCTGGATGGACGGAATTACGCACACGTACGTTCTATAGGGGAGAAGGGTTAAATAGCAGGCCCGTATCTCCTGCGCGTGTACACGCAGGGACGGTCGACCCACTGCTGGATGAGGGGGGGCCCCCTCCCCCGCGCCGTGCGTGACGCCGGAGTTTATTCCGTTGGATGAGGGCAGCGGGAGCACGGACGTGGGGTCGTCGAAGTACAGTACAACAATGGATTCTGCTGCGTGCTACCCTCCGCTGACCCCCAACGCCTTGTGCCCCGCGCATGCGTGTGGGGCACAAGGCGTTGGACGGATTCGAGGGAGCCTCTGGCATGCCACCGTCCTGGCCACCTCGCAGCCCGGGCGAACGCCGCTGAGCGTTCCAGCGCAGGTCCCTCCAATCAAGTCGCTCACCCAGGCTCCAAAAAAAAAAACCTGCTTGGCTTTCGAGATCTCAACAAGATCGGGCCATATTCAAGATGATTTTAACCATAGGCCCAATTTTTAAGAGATGTCATTGTAAGCCAGGGGAGGGGATGGGGTATTTGGTGGGGGGGGGGGCGGTGGCATAGTATGCTCGGGTGCCAACAGACCCCATGGATCCGAGTTCGATTCCTAGTTCACGGCTAACGTGATTGGAACCTCCGATTAGCACTGTTGACTACGTACGGTGCGAAATAAATTCAACATGCATTGGCCATTGATATCGGAACCGGGTTCTGTCCTCCACCACCTCTCCGTTACCGTCGGTAGATCGAGAACGGCTAGAATGTATTATTTGATCATCGACAGGTTGAGGCCCACTCTTCGCCGCCAGACTGCCATCTAACTAGCCACCTCGCAGCCCGGCATGTTGAGATCCTCGTCAACAGACTACGTAATCCGTGTGATCCGCCAACCTCCGGCTTTCAAAAAGCTTTGACTCGCACGCCGGTACTGCCACCGCCGCTACGCGGCCGTGCCGGAGAAATGCGCAACAGCCGTTTAAGATGATTAATTGCCAAGGCCCCGAAGCTCGCGAAGCACAGTGGCGAGGCATATTGTTTGGCACCACTCTGGTTTTTATGAACGAAGCGGCAAGATAAATTGATCCAACTTATTTCGCTAATGGCGTAATAAAATCATCACGTCTCCCCGTAATGAATTTGAGAACATATCTACGAGTGATGGCTGATTGAGTCGCGTGGGGGATGGGGTAGGGTGGGATGGCTGAGGGGGGGGGGAGCAGGAGGAGGGGCGGAGGATGAGAGGGGATTCAATCGGCGTTTAGCGGGGCACCGTGCGCTGGAGCTAATCACCCGGAATGCACGCCCCCATCTCGTCAGATTTCTCTCAAGCCGAGTGGGGCCGTGCCTGGCTCATGCCTGGCCCGTGCCCTGATTGGCGACCACCAACGCATCGCGCGTGGGGCACGGTGTTGGTGAAGCGGAGGGCAGCGCAGCAGAATCCATTGTTGTACTGTACTTCTACACTCCCACATCCGTGCTCCCTGCCTTCATCCAACACAAACTCCGTCGCACACGGCGTGGGGAGGCCCCCTCATCCAGCAGTGGATCGACTGTCCCTCTGTGGTACGCGCGCAAATAGATATGGGCCCGTTAATTTCACCCTTCGCTGATAAAATGGTACACGCATTATCCCGTCAATTACGGACCGCGTATTTAAAATGCGTTTTGTATGGTGGGCGAACGCGTCCGTTTGTGTGTGACCTGTTGCCTTGAGCGCACAACAACTCGTCCTCAAGCGGAGACCAAAATAAACAGTGGAAACGATCGTAAAACACAGCCCCCGAGACGCTGCGGGAAGGCACTGGCAGACAGCTGACGGCGCGTGTTTCCATAGCCGCCCTCTCTGAACCCAACAACCTCCCAGCCCCCCCCCCTCCCCGTCCATGCGCCCCTCCTATGCCAGAGGCGTAGACGCAACTTCTGAAAAGATTGGCTCCGTTTGTGTGTGCGTGCGCACGTGCGCTGTTGTTGAGAATGGGGGTGCCGTGTGTGAACAGGCGTGTCACGTGGTGAGCGTTGAAGGTGGGGGGGGGGGGCTGTTTGGGGTGGGGAGGTGGGTGAGTGATGTGAGAGGTGGGGCAGTGGTGAGGTGCGATGGGAGGGGGGAGGGGGTTCCTATTCACGTGGCGTTGTGCGTACGCGTGTGCGCGTGTGGCTTTGTGCGGGGAGGAGCGGCAGTGTTGCGGTTTGGCGCGCTGCGCTAAGAACACCCGAGAGCGTTCGGAAGGCTATGCGGGGGGTCTTTGTCTTTGTGTGCGTGCGTGCGTGCGTGCGCTGCGTGCGATTGAGTGCTGCTGATGAGAGTAATTATTCTTTTAACCGTTTACTTACCCCGCCCCCCCGCCCCCCCCCCCCCAAGTTACGGACACCATCGATGTGCGCTCCTAAATAAATCACAACGCAGGTAGCAGTCCCGTTGCAAAACCTCTCCAAATACCACCTCGTTTCCACTGCAGTTATTTACTTGCAGGCTCGATTGCGTCGCTGCACACGCACGCGGTTCACGGTTCATGCCATTGCCGCGCAAATAATGTTAATGTAATAATGTTTGACCATACTTCACCACGCTGGACAACTTTCGGGTTGGTGAAGGGGGGATGATGCCTAGGACCGGCTCGGCTGTCACTTGCCACTGATGTTAGACACGGCCTGGAATCGAACTCAGGTCACCGGGTTCATAGCGCGGTGCGAGAACCCGGCCGGTGGCAAGCAATCGCTGCATCGGTCCACCCGTCCCCCAACCATTCACCCACCCACACTGACCATTATGGTGCAGTATGGTCAAAACAACTATCACCAAATACGCAGCGCGCTGGTGCCCTTAATCCAGCAGTGGATTGACGAAGCGCTATTAGTTACCGTTTCATAATTATTTATCCTTACAGCCGACTGCTACCGAGAGAGAGAGAGAGAGGGGTGTGTGTGAGCGGCAAAGGGAGACGTACAGGCGACATCCACGCACTCTCCCCCCCGCGCTCGCGCAACGCCGCTTCCATTGTGAGCGAACACCGCTGGCTTTTGTCTCACCGAGAGGACTTTCAGCCTCGGCGCCCCTGTCCCAACGCCCCTGTCCCAACGCCGAAGCCTCCTTCCCCTCCCTTCCCTCCCTGCGTTACCACCCCCCCCCCCCAGGGGAGCGTCCCTGTAATGGCTATTGATTAAAATAAAGATTTATTGTAATGTGGTGTTCGGCTGCACTCAGATGAAGTGCTAATTTTGAGGTCCAGTGATGCATGATAACGACTATCCATCAGCTGTGTCCCTACTCATCCCTGGCAAACCAACCAAACCTCCCCCCCCCCCCCCCACCGATAGCTTCCCGTGAACCAAACTTTGTTGATTTGCTCTGG